CCTCCTCCTCCTCCTCCTCCTCCTCCTCCTCCCCCTCTTGGAGTATGACGGCTTCCCCAGCACTTGATTCCACTGCATGCTCCTCCACATCTCTGCTCAGGGCAGCTTGCCTGGGCAACATTCCGGGACGAGCTGGTGGGTTTGTTTTCGTTCGCGAGCGCAAGCGGAAGGGCCGCGCGCCGTCCAAAGCTACAGCTAACAAGCAGGAGCCTAGCTGTTGGGGGTACGCGAAGCGTCTACAAATGTGAACAACCGTTGGCTCCCAGTGGATGTGGTGAGATAGAGCAGGGTAACTGGGCTGGCGGTAACTATTGGTGCGCGTGACGCCTTGGTGCAAGCAACCAACGAGCACGCAAGCAAGCACGCAGACAATCATGAGGGACCGTCATTCGGCACCAGCATGGGGGACCGGCATGCACGGGCCATGCAGGATGGCCATAGAAAGAGCAAAGTTGATCGCGCGGGGCGTATCACGAACCGAGATTCGGATCAGGGCAAGAACTCCTTGACCAGCGCTTTGGGAGAATAGCACGCCACTGCAACACATTGCACCACAACTTCAGAAGGGCACCCACCCCCAACCCCGACAAGGGGGGAGGCCAGAAGCTGTTCGGACAGAAGTCTCGGCCACCGCTCACGCTCACGCCCTTCTCGTGCCCGTCCGCCGCCACCGCCGCCCCACCTCAGCAGCCGCATCCCCCGCATCCTGTACCATCGCTCTCAGCCACCGCCACTGCCCCTCACGCCCTTCTCTTGCCCGTCCGCCGCCACCACCGCCACACCAGCACAACCGCACTCCCCCACCACATCAGAATTGCTCTCGGCCGCCGCAGCTGATGGCTACTGCTTTCGTTCGTGCCGCCACTCTCTCGCGTGCATCCTTCGAGCCGCCCTGCGGTGGGATGGTCATTCTAACTGGACGGGCTCTTAGAAGCCCCCGGGAGCCCCGAGAGGCCCCCAAGATACCCCAAGAGGACTCCAAGAAGCTCTCAAGAGACACCCGAACAGACTCCCATGGGCATTCGCCATTTCTGCTCGCCCGCCTCCATCTCCTCCTCCTCCTTCTCCTCCTCCTCCTCCTCCTCCTCCTCCTCCTCCTCCTCCTCCTCCTCCTCCTCCTCCTCCTGTACGTTCTTCTCCTCCTCCTCTCCTCTGTTCGGGCATTTTTTCCCACACCCCTGGACTTCTTCGCAGAGAGCACAACGGCATATCACACATGTTCGGAGGCCCTCACAGGATTTCTTGGATCGGCCCTGAGCCCCCCTGGCGAGGTCCATCGCCGATCCGAGGGAACCGCGCGCGGACGACCTCCGACGGTTTGTGTGTGCAGTGAAAACGTATAGTAAGGACGCGTGGTAAGGACGCAAGACCCTTGGAGTCCGAAGTTGAAGTATTCTGGGCGGCAGGCGGCCAAACCCCCAGGGAACCTGAGAAACTGGCCTGCGAAAATTGCTAGGGACGGGCCGCAGAGGCTGAGGCAGGCAAGGACCCAAGGGTACCCTTGAAAAAGTAGTTTTTCCTTACTATGCGCGTTGACTGTAACTATGCAGTTCTGTTGCTCCTTTCGTCGTTCCCCACGCCCAGGCGATGCTGGCGACGTGGAGGACGCGGCTGCGGTGATGAGGCGGTGGTCCACAAGGGAAACGTCGACCCCTCTCCCAGGCATCGTCGGGCTCTCGAGTGGACCAGAGAGATGGGGCCCCTCCCTGGGACACACGATGGGGGGCGCCCATCCTCGATACGGGTGCGTCGGGATAGACCCCCTGGGGTGTATCCCAAGGGCTTCCCCTTGCCCGAGCGGGTGACCGAAAACTCTTCTCGGGTCGGGCGAAAGGGGGGGATAGCAAAGGAAGGGGTTTGAGAATCAGCTCACGTAGCTAATTTTCCCGGCGCCTCCCGGCGCCGGAGGCGGCTATGTATCGAGGAATGGGCCCCTCGGTGGGGCCGAAATCAGCTGCATGCAGCAAATTTCGTAACCCCCCCTTTCCCAATCCCCCCCTTTCGTCCGGCCCGATCTTCGTGGAGGAGTCGGCGGTGGGGGGCGAGAAGTCGCACGCGCGAGTGCCGGCGGCGGCAGGGAAAAAACGAGGACAAGGCCTGGCGTTATGTCGGGCGTGTCCCCCTACAGTACCCCAAAAGTACCCCAAAATGGTCAAAAATACTCAAAAAATAGTCCCCAGACCATTTTTGGATTATTTTCTGACTTTTTGGTGGTCTTTTTATCTTTCGTCCAAAACCCCCTGTTGGGGAACACGCCCGACATAAGCCTGGCGAGGAGACGACGCGCCGGGAGAGCGGAAAAGCACGCGCCGCCCCCGCGCGGCCGCGCTCAGGGGCCGAATCGGGCCGCGCCGCGCCTGCGGAGGCTCGCGAGCCGGCGGCGGCGGGCAGGGCGACCGAGGAGCCCGAGGCCCCACACGGGGGAGGAGAGCTGCCGCGAGAGCCCCGTGCGAGCAGAGCAGGTGCCCCCCCCCCTCTGCTGCCACTTTTTCTTCCCCTATGCCCTGCCTGCGAGTCTGGCGCTCCCCGTCCCACCTCCGCCCCTCCTCTCGCGCGAGGGGCAACGATAGGGGAGAGTGCTGGCAGAGGGGGGGGCGCATCGACCTGGGAACGGCGATGCATCGCCGATAGATCGGCGGCAGGCCCCCAATAGTGAATCCGCATCTTCCTGTGCAGGTTGGGGCTATCGGGCCCCTAGGCCCTATCGGCGATCAATGGGCGATTGGGAGTCGATGCATCCCATGTGCCTATCCCCCCCTACCATTGCCCCCGACCGTGTCGGGGAGGACGACATGTGGGGCCGGAGAACTTGGGGGCGCCTTGACAGCCCCCTTGACTCTCAGGGACTGCGATCAGGTCGGGCCTGTCCTCCTACAGGGGGATTTTGGACGAAAAATTACAAATACTCAAAAAAATACTTCCCATAAGCTCAGAATAATCAAAAAATGGTCCCCAGACTATTTTCTGACTATTTCCGAAATTTCCTCCTGCAGAGGGACTGCAGGCCCGACTAAAGACTGCGACTGCGACTGCCAAGCATGGAGGGCCAGAAACCGGTGTGGACATGATGTCTCGGAGCTCCCCGCGGAATTATTGGATCGGCGCTGGACCGCCCACCTCCCTGGCGCGCGCATCGCGCCCCAGGCGGCACCGGAGGCGCCGCCAGGGGGGCCCAGGCGCCGATCCAAGAAATCCTCGCGGAGCTCCGAGAAAGCATGTTCATGTCGATGTCCCTCTGAAGCAGGATTTTGCCGCCACTGTCTGTCTGTCTGTCTGCCTGTCCGTAGCCTTTCATCCCTGACGGCCGCGTGGGCTGAACTGGACTCAAAAGTTCAGCCTGAACGCGCATACATGCACAGGCACAGGATCATGCAAAACATACCCTGATTCGTATCGTAGATTGGCGGCGCTCAGAGGGGGGTAGGGGGAGGGGGGAGGGCATCTTAGAAGGAGGCTGTTTCTTAGAAGGCGCCGGCCCTACATCTACTGACAAGGCCCGCGCCTTCTAAGAAGCAGGGTGCTGCTTCTAAGAAGCTTTCCCCCCGCCCCCTACCCCCCTGTGCGCGTGGCTGAGAATTCGGCGGTGGACACACCTCCCTCTAATAAACCTCCCCTTGGTGAAAACGGCCTAGGACCGAAGCAGACGGACCTGGACCCGCGAAAATGACGGCCGCGACGCCCTCTCGCGAACCGAAAACGGCCAATTCCTTAATCGACGTGACGGGGCAGGAGGTCTATCAACCTCCAAAGTATATGTGGCTCACGCAACAGATCTGCAACCCAGAACCCAGAGCTACAAATTCGGAACACCGCGCAGGTTTCCTGGATCTGCGAGAGGCGCGCGGTTCAGGAGCGGCTCCGGAGGCGCCGCCAGGGGGGGCCAACACTGGGCCGACCCAGGAAATCTGCGCGGCCCTCCGAAAGCTGACTCCGGAAACAGTGCCCGCGCTTAGGGATTCTCTCAGACGGAGCCTGGACAAGCACAAATTCAGCTGATGATGAGTCAAGAATCTCTGAGATCCGACGGCTCTGGAGGATGTATCGAACGTCGCGGCCTTCTCAGAGCGTTCTGGAGACTCATTGTCCGGGGTCAACGCTAGCAAACATGTAATCTAATCCTGCAGCTGCTTATTCTTCGACTGACCTGTCGGAAAAATGGGTGAAAACATGAATAGGAAGGCGCTGAGAGTAGATCGGGATTCCGCCCGCCCCCGCAGGAGGAAAGCCAAGGGAGAACCACTCGACGCTCGAAACAAGAAGGCGCCAAAAGCATATCGAAATCTGGGAATCCGAAAACGCCTACATGCAACGACCAACGGAAAACCTGGGATATAAATAAAACCCACTCATGGGGCCCAGCTGCGCTCAGCTGTGCCTGGAGCGCCCGTGGAACGCCCAAAAGTGGATTCGGGAGAACCGCGAGCACCCTCTAGAACAAAGGGTGGTCATCGGGCCAATGCTCTAATCCTATAGTCGGGGCGTTGACCTCAGGACCCCTGAACAAGGAACGAGAACCCTTTTTCCCAATAGCCAAACTTCGATCTCCCATGGAAAGCCTCAGGAAAACCTGAGGCAAACTGTTCAACCATCAAGGAGCACCGAGCCCCTCCCCAACGAGAACGGTTCCTTCTTCAGCGCCCCGACTGTGCTTGCCTTTGGTGTGAGGGCCAAGGGCAGCAGAATCCGACCCATTTCGTCCCAGATGGGCTGGCTGGCTTCTTGGAGGGCGGCGAGGGGAGGGAACGAGGGAGAGGAGGAGGAGGACGAGGCCGAGGGGGAAGCAACGACGGGCCCAAAGAGCAGCAACGAAGGGTGTCTACTTTGGCGTGAGGGCCCTGCGGGCCCGCGGCGGCCTGGCTACTCGCTCCTGCCGTAGACGACGACGCCGTGGCGCGCGGGGAGCTGGCTCGACAGGCACACGACCGTGTCCTGGCGCGGCCGCCGCCGACGACGACGAAAACTTTCGACGCCGACGACAACGACGACGACGACGACGACGACGACGACGTCCGACTACAAGTCAACCAAACCCAGCTCCACTCAACTCTTCAGCTCTAGGAAAGCGGTATCCAGATCACTGCTGCCTCAGTTCCTTGACCTGTGCAGCAGCCAAAACAATAAAACTGAGATGCTATGAGTGCCTGCGATAGGGGAAGTGGTGGCCGCAGCTGCTGGCTTTGGGCTCCAGCTCGGGCACTCTGCGGACCCCAAGTTAGCGACTGACAGGCCTCTGGGGCCGCCGTGCATCTCCCTGGGGTTGTGGATGCCATGACAATGGACACTCTGACAATCCTATCATTGAATTAAAGATGTGTTCAAAATGTGTAAAATATGCTCTAAATGTTTCAAGCATGTGCTTTACATTGAAACCTATTAGACATCTGGAAATTATTTGGCAGCATGCTTCCTCTCCATTGACCGTCCTCCACAACTACAGGGGGAGAGGGGGAGAGGAGCAGGGCAGGGGGCTGGAAGGCAGGCGAAGGGGCCGTCTTTTGTATGCGCCGCGCCCCTCGGCGCACGGGCTTGGCTGTGGGGAGACTCAACCCTCGGTGCAAACAAATATTGCATGAACACCTTGTCAGCCCGGCCCGGCAGCAACTTCCGACGACGACGAGCAGGTTTGGGCAGGTCGAGGGGTGGGACCACGATTACGGCGAGCAGCAGCCCGAGGTTTGGGGGCATATTTCGCCCGTCATCCTTCCCGCCTCCTCCTCCTTCTCCTCCTCCTCCTCATCATCATCATCGTCATCATCATCAGCAGCAGCATCAGCATCATCAGCATCAGCAGCAGCATCAGCATCAGCATCAGCATCAGCATCAGCATCATCATCATCAGCAGCATCAACAACATCATCATCATCATCATCAACAACAACATCAGCATCATCACCATCATCATCGTCATCATCAGCAGCACAATCATCATACCCATCATACTCATCAGCATCAGTAACATCATCATAATCATTATCACAAACAGCACCAACATCCGTATCATCAATGACAACAATAACAATAAGAACAACAAGAGCAACACCAACCAGCATCATCATCGACAACAAAAGCAACAGCAGCAACAACAACAACAACAACAACAACAACAACAACAACAGCAACAGAAGCATCCTGAGCATCATCAACATCTTCATCATCCTCATCCTCATCCCCATCCGCCCAAACCTCCTGATCCGCCTTCTCCTCCGCCTACGTCTCGTCGTCGTCTTCCTCGTCCTTCTCCTCTTTCTCCTCCCCCTTCCATACCTCCTCGTCCTCCTCCTCCTCGTCCTCCTCCTCCTCCTACTCCTCCTCCTCCTCCTGCTCGTCCTCCTCCTCCTCCTCCTCCTCCTCCTCCTCCCTCCCTCCTCCTCCTCCCTCCTCTCCTCCTCCTCTTCCTCATTCTCGTCTTCCTCCTCCTCCTCTCCCTCTCCTCCTCCTCCTCCTCCTCCTCCGCCTCCTCCCAATATCCTGCACCTCCCAAACCCACGCCATGGCCTCGTCGCCAGGGCTACATCCCCCTCCGAAGCTCTGGCCAAAACGCACCTCGGGAAAGGTATAGGGGGATAAAAGGGACGCAGAAGGGGGGACGACGGCACGGGACCCCTCGCAGCATAGAAGCAAAAACACGGCGGGAGGCTTTTCGCCGAGCACAATCTTAGATCTTCAACCCACCATCTTCAATCACCACACTAAGCACAAGCTTTAATCACCACATCTTCAACCCACAGGACAGCCCAACGACGGCTCCAATCCTTCGGCCAGGCGCGTGCTCGGGCCACACACCTGCGCCCTGCAGGACGGCGCGCCAGAGGCGCAGACAAATCACCCGGTCTCGTCCCACGTCCTCCTCCTGACCGTCCCTGCTCTGATCCTCAGCCACCACCTCCTCCTCCTCCTCCCCCTCCTCCCGCTCTTGCTCGCCGGCTGCGAGATGTGCCTGCCAACCTCCGCGTGGGGACCCGCCGCGGCTCCCGCTCTGCGGGGGCTGAGTCCCCTGCCCCTCCTTCCCGTCCGTCCCGTGGCGGCCCACGTCGGGAGATAGCATCGGAGGCGCACCTTCTGCCGTCGGTCTCGAAGTCTAGACCTGGAAGAATCGGCCCCGTGCTCGCACCACCCGCAGCTGGCCTGGCTTAAGCAGAACATAGCCTAGCTCTGCGGGGTCGAGCCCCAGCTGATATCATGTAGGATCCTGGTCTGGTCTCATATCGAGTGGCTCCAACACGAGCGCATTCCGAGGCGTCACAATCTCTGGTAAGTCGCTTCCTCCCAGGAGGATGCCGATCGATCCTGCCAAATGCTGGAAGAGCGCTTCAACGAGTCCATGAGGCTGCGGCATGGAGCGGTGGCCAACGATGCCCGCTCGGGGAAAGCAACCTTCTCACCCTCCTCGCAGACCCACTACATGTGTCTTCGCACACGACCGAAGAGGACAAAGGTGAAGGGGCCCTGGGACACACAAATAAATACACACAAATAGAACAATCCCCTATATTGTCTCATATTTTCTGGGTTTCTCTCTTCCCCCCCCACTGCCCATATTTTCCCATATTTTCTGGGGAATCGACGATTAATTGTGTCTGTGTGTTTTTTCCCTCCTGAACTGCATTTGCCTTCGCACACGACCGAAGAGGACAACGGAGAACCGAGGAGGAATGAGGGAGCCGAAGGGGACCGAAGACCGCACTGCGCGCTCGGATGAGATCGGGGACACGCTAGCCCGGGCGAGCGCCAGCCCGGGCGTCAAGAGCGAATGAAGGGGCCCCAGGACACACAAAGAAATACACACAAATAATTACCCTGTGACGTACCCAACCCATTTGTATCATGGGAAACGAGGAGTTGGCCGAAACTTGCATGGACAATCAAATTGTAGGATCCGTTGTTTGATATGTAAGCTACTTGGGACACGCGCTTATGGCATGATGCGCAGGAGTTCCGTACAAGAACGAGGGGCGACAACTACAGGCTCGAAGAGGACATGGGGAGTCGGGAACGAAGAGCAGGAGAAAGACGTGCGGGAAGCCCACTGTGCTGGGCCCCCCAGCAGCCCTCGAAAGTAAAGACAGTTTCACAGATCGCAGCCCCCCAGGGATGGCGAGGTCTAATTTGAATCCGCGGTGACTACCCACTGTGCTGGGCCCCCCAGCAGGCCTCGAAAGTGGCGACAGTTTCACAGATCGCAGCCCCCCAGGGATGGCGAGGTCTAATTTGAGTCCGCCCGTGGCGTCACTGTGCTGGGCCCCCCAGCAGGCCTCGAAAGTGGCGACAGTTTCACAGATCGCAGCCCCCCAGGGATGGCGAGGTCTAATTTGAATCCGCCCGTGGCGTCACTGTGCTGGGCCCCCCAGCAGGCCTCGAAAGTGGCGACAGTTTCACAGATCGCAGCCCCCCAGGGATGGCGAGGTCTAATTTGAGTCCGCGTGGCCCACTGTGCTGGGCCCCCCAGCAGGCCTCGAAAGTGGCGACAGTTTCACAGATCGCAGCCCCCCAGGGATGGCGAGGTCTAATTTGAGTCCGCCGTGTGTACCCACTGTGCTGGGCCCCCCAGCAGGCCTCGAAAGTGGCGACAGTTTCACAGATCGCAGCCCCCCAGGGATGGCGAGGTCTAATTTGAGTCCGCCGTGTGTACCCACTGTGCTGGGCCCCCCAGCAGGCCTCGAAAGTGGCGACAGTTTCACAGATCGCAGCCCCCCAGGGATGGCGAGGTCTAATTTGAGTCCGCGGTGAGTACCCACTGTGCTGGGCCCCCCAGCAGGCCTCGAAAGTGGCGACAGTTTCACAGATCGCAGCCCCCCAGGGATGGCGAGGTCTAATTTGAATCCGCCGTGGTACCCACTGTGCTGGGCCCCCCAGCAGGCCTCGAAAGTGGCGACAGTTTCACAGATCGCAGCCCCCCAGGGATGGCGAGGTCTAATTTGAGTCCGCCGTGGTACCCACTGTGCTGGGCCCCCCAGCAGGCCTCGAAAGTGGCGACAGTTTCACAGATCGCAGCCCCCCAGGGATGGCGAGGTCTAATTTGAATCCGCCGTGGGTACCCACTGTGCTGGGCCCCCCAGCAGGCCTCGAAAGTGGCGACAGTTTCACAGATCGCAGCCCCCCAGGGATGGCGAGGTCCAATTTGAATCCGCCGTGTGTACCCACTGTGCTGGGCCCCCCAGCAGGCCTCGAAAGTGGCGACAGTTTCACAGATCGCAGCCCCCCAGGGATGGCGAGGTACAATTTCAATCCGCCGTGTGTACCCACTGTGCTGGGCCCCCCAGCAGGCCTCGAAAGCAGGCCTCGAAAGTGGCGACAGTTTCACAGGTCGCAGCCCCCCAGGGATGGCGAGGTCCAATTTGAATCCGCAGTGTGTACCCACTGTGCTGGGCCCCCCAGCAGGCCTCGAAAGTGGCGACAGTTTCACAGATCGCAGCCCCCCAGGGATGGCGAGGTTAATTTGAATCCGCCGTGTGTACCCACTGTGCTGGGCCCCCCAGCAGGCCTCGAAAGTGGCGACAGTTTCACAGATCGCAGCCCCCCAGGGATGGCGAGGTCCCATTTGAATCCGCCGTGTGTACCCACTGTGCTGGGCCCCCCAGCAGGCCTCGAAAGTGGCGACAGTTTCACAGATCGCAGCCCCCCAGGGATGGCGAGGTCTAATTTGAATCCGCGTGTGTACCCACTGTGCTGGGCCCCCCAGCAGGCCTCGAAAGTGGCGACAGTTTCACAGATCGCAGCCCCCCAGGGATGGCGAGGTACAATTTCAATCCGCCGTGTGTACCCACTGTGCTGGGCCCCCCAGCAGGCCTCGAAAGTGGCGACAGTTTCACAGATCGCAGCCCCCCAGGATGGCGAGGTACAATTTCAATCCGGTGTGTACCGTGCTGGGCCCCCCCAACAGTGTCGCAGCCGGATGGCGAGGTGCACCACTGTGCTGGGCCCCCCAGCAG